ATTCCTGAATGAATCAGTGTTTTTGAATAAACGGTTGAGTGAATAATTCAATGACTCCCTCATACAGGAAGTCACGTGGCTGTATATCACTGTGAAATACTGCTCAGATCATCAAATTATCATCAACTATTGTATAATCTGTTTTAAAACATTATGGAGGAGCTCAAGCATCTCAAACGGTTAGACAGCTGTACATCATGAAAAACACTGAAGAGAAGAAGAGCAGACACCACAGTGCTATCCACCAAATTACAAACTACATGCCTGTCACAGTTTCAGCATACTAACAGTAACAGGCTTAACTAATATCATTTATTTAAATCTAATTGATGAAAAATTACAGCTGTGGCTGTCACAAGTTGTAGTGTGGATCTCAACATTTTTATTGCATGTTCTTACCAAATGATCAAACCTCATAACATCTAATAAGCTTGCAGGCTAATGGCTAATACACAGAACGGTTCAACTTCATAAGCTGTAGCTTCATTATTTACAATTTTAATTGACAGAGTAGCTACAACAGGCAGCTGAAATCTGCTGTATATATATATGTATATTTTTTTTATATATATCTATAAAAGCTACAAGCTCTGCTCACGTCAAGCATTTAACCAAAGTGACATGTTAACTACTTCATGATGAGTGTCTCGTGAAAGTTTGTTTGCCATAATCCTGGATGTGTTTACATTGATCCAGTTCAGGAACTGCATGCTCACTACGGTCTGCTGTGGAAAGAACCCGTTTGGTGAGGAGGAGACCAGCATGACGGCCTCCAGTAAGACTCAATCCTCGGTGGTCTCGTCCAGTCAGGTGGCTCCCGCCTGACCGACAACTTTACAAATGCACCCAGCAGCCTCCTACAGGCCAAATATGTCACTCCACATCATCCCGTCTGCAACTACATCTACTACTTCACTTATTTCTGCCCTGGAGTCTTACACGTTTTGTAAAAACTGGCCAATCAGATCCCTATAATACTGCTGTATGTTGCTGCATGTGATTGTGTATTCACATGGAAAATACTTGCAATGTGTTTAGTAACTTGATGGCATTCCCATGTATTTATCTCAACAGCTGTTCCAATAGTTTTGGCTGATAATCCAGCTGTTAGATGAGTATTTAGCTATGATCAGTTATGATTTTGTAAAGTCATGTTCTGATTTTGACCAGTTAACCTTTTATAGGCTTAAGTTCTGAGTCCATGTGCGGTTTCTTTATAAAGTTTGATGTTGATGAGATTGAGTGCTGGAGCCAGACGAGACCTCAGGAGATTCACCACACACCCAGCGAAACAGATCTCTGAACGTTTAGATGTAAATGTCATCTGTGGAAGAATATGTAAATGCGTAAAGACATGACACTGTCTGCAGATTACAAAATATAGGGGCAAAGCAGAAATAAAAGTTCATGTAAAACCAAAAATGTTTACTAAAAACCATGACAAAGAAAACTGGGATTGTTACACAATGTTTTAGTAAAGTTTGTCTTTATTGATAAAATGTCCCTCTTTCTCCCCAAAAAAGTAAACAATTCCAGCAGAATATCTACAAAAATTATGCACACACATTGGTTTGGACCCATTCAAGAAAGACCCAAACCCTTCAAATAATAATAATTAATACAAATAAGCCTATTTTGTTAATCATATAGTAACTTGTAGTCCAAGGCATCGTGGGTTTAAAACGGACTGCCATTGAACAGTGCAGGCACAAATATCCCATCAGAAACGTTATTCAAATAACAGTATGAAATTATCATACAGCTATAAATATTGCTATGGAGAAGGTCTTGTATAATCCAGTGCATAATTGGCTCTCCCCAAGTGTGGGGTCAGTGCGTCACATGACTGCAGGGCCCCAGGACCCTGGAGTCCACAATTAATTAAACAAACTCCTAATTCAAAGTCAATAATTGAATACTATAGCAATAGAAAATCAATAAACTCATCATAGCAAGAACAAGCGGTGAAACATGGGCATTTCCCCCTCACTACTTCACTTGATTATCCTCATTGGTTCAGTAAATGTGGGACAGTTTTGATCAGATATGGACGTCAGGGCTTCTGTTCTTTGAGGCAGCGGTCAGGGGAATGAATGTGGGCTCAGGCCTCACTGCTGCACTCATAGATGTTATCTTCCACCAGTGCAATGACCTGCTCAAACTTGTGCTGCAGCTGAGTGCGTCGAGCCGTCGGGCTCGAGTCCAGCGCGCTCACCACCTGAGACACACACACACATCAATATATACTTAGTTTATTTGAAATCTTTTTTTTAAAGGTATTCTGAGATCAGTTAGATGAAAAAAGAGATCACAAAACAATTTCTATCCGTTTATTTGTTTTAAAACATTCAGAACTGCAGTGCTGTAGTACTCGAGTACAGACTCAAGTCCAAGACCATATTTTCTAAGACTGGTTGAGACCAGCTCATTCAAGTCCGAGTCCAGGCCAAAGTCAAACGCTCCTGAAAATATGGTCTTGGACTTGGGCTTGAGTCAAGTACTAAAACACTGCAGAATTGCTGAATAAAGCGTGCTGTAATCAGTGCACATTGCATATAGGAAACAGTTCAGATTTCATGGGCAGGCTAAGGCATGTAAGCAAGCTGAGTTTGTGTGTGGTTATCGTAGCAGGCTGGGTTTTTGTGTGGTTACTGTAGAAGGCTGAGTTTGGGTGTGGCTTCTGTAAAATGTTAAGTTTGGAGTGTGGCTTCTGTAGAATGTTAAGTTTGGGGTGTGGCTTCTGTAGAATGTTGAGTTTGGGGTGTGGCTTCTGTAGAATGTTGAGTTTGGTATTTGGCTGCTGTAGCAGGCTGAGTTTGGGGTGTGGCTTCTGTAGAATGTTGAGTTTGGGGTGTAGCTACTGTAGCAGGTTGAGTTTGGGGTGTGA